GATTATGAAGTTTCTTCTATCTTCAATGTGGCTAATCTCTTTCCTTACTATGGAGAAGATGAAGAAGACATGGATCTTGAAGTCGATTTTTCTCCAATGTAGGGAGAATGATATATAAGTATATTATTTAGGTTACTTGTGTATTAAGTTAGGTTAGACTAAGTTATCTTTTACTTTGCTTGTACTCTAAGGAAGTTTAGGCTAGGTTATTTCCTTATTTATTTATATAGGAATTGTAATAATCTCACATGGGAAAGTTAGAATACTTTTTTTCTTAGGAATAGTTATATAAAGCCCTCTTGGCTTAATTGTTAGACACATTCAAGTTGAGAATTAATAAAGAATATTTTCTTTAGTAAGTAAGAGTGTTTATTTTTTCTAAACGAGTGTTTATTTTTCTAAGCTCTTTTCAAAAGAGTAAGAGAGTTTAGTATATTTGGTTTGGCCAACTAAAGTGAGATTTTAGCCATTATTCACCTTAGTGGGGTTTTTAATCTCGCCAAAATTGGTGTTAATCTTAGTGCGGTTTCTAACCTCGTTAGGATAAATGTCTTCATAACATCTTGACGTCACGAAGAAATTGCAAAAAGGTATAAAGCTGTATCCTGTATTCATTCTGCTATTTTTGACTTGATTTTTACTCATATAATGGATTGTGATTCTACTAAAGAAGCATGGGACAGGTTGAAGGTGGAGTTTCATGGCAGTGATAGGACGAATCAAACACAAGTCCTAAATTTACTTAGAGAGTTCGAAGTATTAAAGATGAAGGATGAGGAAAGTGTGAAAAGCTACTCGAAAAAGGTTTTGAAAATAGTTTATTAGTTGAGATTACTTGGAAAAAATTGACCATAGAGAAAAATAGTCGACAAATTTCTTGTAAGTATGCTAGAAAAATTTGAAGCCAAAATATCTTTTCAGGATATGCCCACATTGACCGTGACAGAGCTTGTAAATGCTTTTCAAGCTCAAAAGCAAAGAAGAGTTTTGAGGTAGGAAGATCATGTAGAAAATGCTTTACTGGCACGTGCAAGTGAGAAGAAAAATGGTGATAAAAAACAAGGTAAGCAAAAAGCTTAATACCCTCTATGTTCTTATTGTAAAAAATGCAACCACAATGAACGTTTTTACTGGTACAGACAAGATGTTACATGTAGGTCTTGTAACCGGCTTGGTCATGCGGAGAAAGTGTGCAAGAACAAAACCAATCAAAGATAAGAAAAAGTTGTAATAGTCGAGGAACATGAGATGAATGAGGAGGTGTTATTCATAGCTAAAATGCCTGAGAGGTCAATAAGCTCTAAAGCATAGGAAGATATGAGTGTCCTTTAGCAACAAGTAAACTCTTTTGACCAAGACAATGATGGAATTATT